TTTTTGTGCCTTCTTTATTTTTAGCAGTGATTTGTTATTCTTGTTGTAGAGACCTCTCTTCTCCTTGATTAAATTAAATTGATTCCTAACTATTCCTTTTTGGGTGACTATTGTAAGTAGGATTAATTTCTTGGTTTCTTTTTCTACTAGTTCGCTCCTGAAGTATAAAAATGCTACGAATTTTTGCGTGTTGATTTTGTATCCTACAAGTTTACTTAATTTATTTATCAGGTGTAAGAGTTCTTTTGTAGAGTCTTTAGGGTTTTCTGTATATAGGATCATGTCATCGGCAAACAGGGACGGTTTGACTTTGTCTGGATGCATTTTATTTCTTTATTTCTTTCTCTTGCCTGATTGTTTTAGCTAGTACTTCCAAACTTATGTTAAATAGGAGCAGTGAGAGAGGGAATCCGTGTCTTGTTCCCATTCTTAAGGGAATAACTATCAGCTTTTCCACATTCTGGGTGATATAGTTGGTGTGCTTGTCATACATGGCTTTTATTTTATTGAGATACTTTCCTTCTATACCTAATGTGCTGAGAGTCTTTATCATGAAGGGATGTTGAATTTTGTGGAATGGTTTTTCTGTGTCTATCAATTTTTGATCATGATCATTTAATTTTTGTCCTTAATTTTGCTAAAATGATGTTTCACATTTATTGACTTGCATATGTTGAAGCATCCTTGGATCCCTGGAATAGCACCCACTGGATCATGTTGTATAATTCTTTTGATGTGTTGCTGTTCCATTTGCTCATATTTTGTTGAGAATTTTAGCATGTATGTTTATCAGAGATAAGGGTCTGTAGTTTTCCTTTTGTAGTGTCTTTGTCTGGTTTTCATATCAGGGTGATGCTGGCTTCACAGAATGCGTTTGGGAGAATGGCCTCTATTTCAATTCCTTGGAAAAGTTTGAGTAGAATTGGTAATAATTCCTCTTTAAAAATTTGGTAGAATTCAGCAGTAAATCCACCAGGTCTTGGAATTTTCTTAATTGGGAGACTACTGATTAGTTATTCAATTTTGTTGCTTGTTAATAGTCTCTTTAGCTTTTCTATTTCTTTTAGATTCAGTCTTGGTAGTTTGAATGCATCCAGAAATTTATTCATTTCTTCCAGTTTTTCAAATTTGTTATTGTATATTTGTTTATAATAATCTCTAATGATTCTTTGTATTTCTGTTGTATCATTTGTAATGTCTCCTTTTCATTTCTGAGTTTTCTTATTTTGTAACTCTCCATTTTTTAGTTAGTCCAGATAATGGTTTGTCTGTTTTGTTTATCTTCTTGAAAAAACAACTTTTTGTTTTGTTATTCTTTTGTATCATTTTTGTGTCTGTATTTCTTTTTGTTTGTCTGTTTGTTTTTCAGTTATGAATATTCATGAGATACAAAGCTGATTATCACCCCTTGTTCCCAAGATCTGAAGGCCAGATTCATACTGGCAGCATGCCCATTACCACAAATTGCATTTGTACCCCGTGTCCCCCACCCAGTCATCCCCATCCTCCCTCCCCCTCCCTCTAGCTCCCCTCTCCACTTTGTAGCCCAAGGTGTGTTCTCTCCCTGTGCAAGTCCAACGCACCACTGTCGTCTTTCTTTCCTTCATTCTTTCTCTCTTCGCTCTCACTATTTCATTTAGTTCAGCTCTGATCTTAATTATGTCTTTCCACCTTATAATTTTGGGATTATATTGTTCTTGTTTTTCTAGTTCTTTTTGTATTGTATTAGGTTGTTTATTTGAAATCTTTCTATTCTTTTGGTGTGTTTATTTGAATAAACTTCCCTCTTTGGAATGATTTTAGTATCCCGCACGCTTTGTTTTTAATTTTTCAAATGAAACATAATTGTTTTTTTACATATTTATAGGGTAAAGTGTTGACTGTGAATATTTGTTTATGTTATGTAATGATCAAAGCAATACTATTAGCATGTTCATCATTACTAGTCTTAATTATCCTTTGTGTCCCTTACCCATTTACTCCCAAACTCCCCTCGCCCTCCCCTTTTCCCACGTCTGCTAACTATAAGTCTGTTCTCTCTTATTGAAAGTTAAATGTTTTATTGTGTCCTTTCTTTCTTTCTTTCTTTCTTTCTTTCTTTCTTTCTTTCTTTCTTTCTTTCTTTCTTTCTTTCTTTCTTTCTTTCTTTCTTTCTTTCTTTCTT